GCCCTTCCCTCCCAGCAAATCTAGCAGAGACAATCAGAAGAAAGCTGGCCCCATTCAAGTTCTTGTCTGGGAAGGTGGCAGATTGCGTAAAGAAATGTGAAAGGGAGACTGACAACTTTGCAGAAAAGCAGGGGGTTTAAGCAGTAAAGGAGAGGATGAATGTACAAAGATCAAAAAAATCAATACAATTTAATCCACGTTTGTGTCTTAAAGCAGTAGCTTATCTGCAGAGCCTGTGTAATTTTAAAGGACAGAAAGACAAAGGCAGAGGAACTAGGTAATAAGAGACTATCTTATTCAAAAACAGCTTTAAAAAAAAGTATCCAAGGACTGTCCCTCCTTTAAATAGAGATAAATGTTGATGGTGACTGCTTTTGAGACACTGCATGCCTTGCTGACCTTTCCTTTGAGAGATTTAAGGGGATATAAAGGGAGTTGATGTGCTGGTGGCTACTAAGTCTTCTGGACTACCAAACACATACTCAGACATGGTCACAGTTTCAGTATTTAATCATTTATAAAATCATTTGCTGGAAGCAGGTATAGCTTGAGCCAACAGCAGCTAGAGTTAATATTAATATATTCCAGAACTGCAGCGGCTCCAGCTGCTCCAGATGTTTGAGGACCTTTGTGAGGTTCATTCCCTGTCGGCTGTGGCAGCCTTGCCAGGCAACACTACTGAGGATGCATGCGTGGCTTAACTTCTGTGTCATCCAGCAATAACGTAAACCTGATCCCACAAGTACAGATAGCTTCCAGTAATCATTATTTCTGTTTCCATGGTTACTGGAAAGAGAAAAATTCCTATTTTTGCTTCATGAAATTATACAAAAATGGAACATTTTCCAAAATCTGTGCAAGTTTAAAATTAAATTGTGAGCAGATAATATAGCCATTTTCCCTTCATGTGTGCCATCTCTTTACTCCCTTTCCACCCTTTCCAGCACTTCTGACCTGCACAAATCCCACCAGCTCCACAGAAAAGCTACTCCTCAGAAATAATCCCAAAGAGGGCAGAGATCAAACTCTTTCCTATTGGGTCTTGGAGAGACTTCAGGCATTGTTCATTCAAAAAGAAAAAATAAAAAAGAATATTGATTCCAAGGTCTAAAGAGTTTGTTATTTATATAAATGCAGCTAGAGCAGATGCAGCAGAAGTCGACAGTAACCTCCTGCTCCATTTTCACAGCAAGTCTGCCTCCGAGGGCCAAAATAATTATTTGTTGAACCTATCAACTATGGGTAGGCTTAGTGTGCAGTACTTAATGAAACTTCCATGGAAATGTGTGTTGTTGCACCTAAAAGAGGGGGTGGTTTTTTTCAATTTTGAAGCCCAGGCGATACTTATACCATGTAAGACAGCGCAATGACAGGTCCTTAGTTAGCAACAGGTCTGTGCTAACAGATTCATGAAATTCACGCAGGGCCATCCAAAGGTACCAGCTCAGGTCCACGTGAGTTATACGACTGTTTAAGGTCACTGCACCTGAACATTTAGCCCTATTGCTCTAAGGAGTGTTACAAAGACACAGTGTAATACTGGTCTGACTAGATTTCAAAGGCATCTAGTTAATTTGGGTGTATTTTAGCACCTTGCAAAAGGCAGATTAAGGAATAAACATGGATAGCCCAAATGTCCCACCTGGTGTTTTGATGGCTCCAACTTTACATCACAAAATATCCACCGTCTCTTCGGAGAAGTGAACCAGGCAGTTGACAGGAGCTTTCCTAGAGACCTCTCTGCTCCACCTGCTCCACCTTCTGTGGTCTGCTGGAAAAATGTACTTTACTCAAACTACCCACTCATCGTATTGCTCTTGTTACTATTTATACCACAGTAGTATGTAAGTGCCTTAGACAAGTAAGGCTATAAAGATAGGAAAGGAACTGCTTGAAGAATTTGCAATACAAAAGATGTGCAAAAGCTAGAAAGGAAAATTAAAATGCTAAGACATGAAATCACTTGCGCAAGTTCACAGAAGTCAAGTATCCCACTGCTTGTCTATTTTATTAGGACTTTGGCCTTTCTAGTTTGTTGCTGTCAAATGTTTTATTTGCTTCATGAGATTCACACACACACAGACACTGCATGAAACATTCCAGGAACAGGATTAGGCGTATTTCACCCTGGTTTATATTCCATCTGGAGAAATGAAGCTTTTGAAATCAGAAGGCAGTTTTGCTAGCATCAGACACCCGTTGTCTCCTGCCATGAAAATGCCTGCAGGGTGACCATAAAGAGAAGTGGAAAACCTCCCTTCTTCCTCAACTGCCTTCCTGAGTTTGCTGCTCTCAGTCTGGGTGTGGAGTGTGGAAAAGGGTCCTCAACAGTGCTTCAAATCACAGCAAGTAACATGCAAAGAAGTTACAAAGCTGCTCTTTTATCCCCCCAAATGTCAACATCCTATTGTTTCTTTGCAAACGATATTTCGCAAAAAGGAAGTAGTTAAATTCCGATTCATAGTAAATGCAAAGACTGCCAGTGTTTATGTGATGGCAACTTCAGAATTTATACTGGGTTGTGTTTTTCCTTCAGCTGTATCAAGTGTCACTGAGAAGCAATGCTGGAAGTTCAAAAGACAAGCAGTGAAGAATATTCTTCTAACCTGTTCCTGTCATGTACGCTGTGAGTGCATTAATTTTTGCTTGAGCGATGAAACAGGGAGACCTGTAAAACAACAATCTATTTGTAATGGGATTCTGCACGTAGCATCCTGATATACAGTCTCGTCTGAGATGTGAAAGGGCCCTGCCAGTGTCATTGTGATAAATACTATTTTTAGGGACATGATGAGGGGAAATATTAGCCCGGTGAGAGCGCGTGTGAGCAGCAGAACATGACAAGTGCTGTGCTATGTCTCAGAGTCTGCACAGCCAGGCTGGGGTGTTTTGCCAATCAAGGTCAATCTGTGCACGCACAGGGAATGGTGAAAGGCAGGTGGTGGGAGAAACACTGTGCTCCCTCAATATGTCATGCCGCATGGCACCGGCCACGTGCCTGGGCAGCTATGGAGATAGCTGTGGACGTGCAGACCCTGGGCTGGGGCTGCCTGGCAATCTGCTGCCTAAAGCATATGTAAGTAAATCACCACTAACAGACCTGCTACTGCTGTAAATTAAAGTTGGTCAGTGTAATCTCATTTCTAAGCAGTCTCCAGAAGTGGGAGGAGCAAGCTGGGGCCCTCTGCAAGCCAGGGGGCCTGGCTGCGGAGCAATGAGGTGTCTCTCCCAACAACGAGCACCTGGCACCAGGAGAGGTGGCACCCCATGCCTCGGCCCCAGTCTGGTGATGGGGCAAGAAGGTGGAGTGAGGCCACACCCTGCGTCTTCTATCCCATTACTTTATGGGGCACAGACAGAAAAGTTTCTTTTGCCCATGCATTTCATCTGTGAAACCTCTGTCTCCTGCTGGTGTCAGCGTACTTCAGTGTGGGTGAGACGCAGCATCCCCTGGCACGGGGTCCTCAGTGCAGCAGGAGTGGGATGCCGGCACGGCTCTTTGCTTCCAGCCTGGCTGGCAATGGCTATTTTGGTCTGGAGACCAGGAAAGGATTTTGGATCGTGCCAAAGATGGCATGCCAGAAGGCAATGGTGCAAAAGCACAGGGGGTGGGCTGGAGGTGGGGGGTGCTGAGATGCACGCAGGTGTTTAGTGGGGCCAAGCCGCAGGGGTGGATGGTAGTTTCTTGGTCCTATAAGGGCCACTGAGTGCAGGAACAGATGTTGGGAAGGGGGCCCAGGGGCACCCACTGGTCTTCAGCTCGTCTTCTCCGCTCCTCACCGCCCTTCCCATGGAACAAAATGTGGAGACGCAGGGGTGCAGGATGGGAGGTGCTGCTTGCCTGTGGGTGTCAGTTGAGGCCATGGCTGTGCAGATAGGTGAGTCCCACCAGATGACTGCTGCAAGAGCCCTGCTGTGGGACCGAGGTTGGGCCAAGGGGTGACAGAGGCCAGCTGCCCTCCACGTGCCCCCCAGAAAGCCTGGGGACACGGCGGGAGCCCGCGGGGGATCAGAGTGATTTATTCAACAGCACCTAACCAACCAGCAATTGGTGGACTTTACATTCAGGTTCGATACCAGCAATGCAGCAGATAAACCACATTACTAGACACTTAGCAATTGTTAATGAACACCACTAAAATCCTAAACACCCTTCTAACCCCAAAACCTTCTGGTCACCTACACTGACACATACATGCGCATGTGGTTGCAGCGTGGGCCACACGCACATCATGTCCCCGGGACCAGCTGCTTCTCTGGCCTGCCCCAGTCCTGCTTGGCAGGATGACTGCCTGCTGTCTCAGCCTCCCCCCAGCACCACACGACCTGCCAGCTCGCTGAAGGTGTGCTCTGCATGGAGCTGACCCACAGTTTTACCTGCGGGTGACAGTGGAGCAGAGCTGGTGTCTGCTCTTTGCCTCTCATTGCAGGGGCGATGCTGGGTAACTGTTGCTTTCTCAGCCGGTTGCCCTCCCTCTGCCTCAGCAGCCACAGCTCTTGCTTGTCCCTTAGCTGCCTGGCTGCTCTCCTCACCCCAGGGGTCTCCCAGGCCCTGCAGTCACCCACCCTGCCACGCTGAGAGCAGCTCCCACAGGTCCCCTTGCGGCAAGCAGTCTGCCTTCTGCCAGGCATCTGGCCCGTCTCACAGCTGGCTTTCAAACCGCTTGTTCTGCACTCCCACCAGGGTCTGCACGTTTGCCTCATACCTTTAGATAAGGCTACGGTGGGCTGTTTTCCCATGGACAGGAGCATGGCCATCCGGTGGGCCTGCAAAGTGTCCCCTCTCTGCCTAGGCCACTACTGAGTCTCCTGCTCTGCCTTATCTAGTTATCAAGGGTCAGTTTAACAGAATTACAGGCTCCCCTTCTGTGCCTTCCTGACCTTGGGCTTTGGCTAGCTTTACTCCTCCTGTTTTGGGAATCACTGGTGCATCTCTGCAAAAGCAGGCTCCTCCTATGAAAGCACACAGCTAATGTGCATGGATTTTGCAGAAAAATGTTTTATTCCGTGGCTCTGCTGCCAAATGCTCCTGGGTCAATGTCAGAAATGTCTCTGTGAAGGCTAACCCCCTTTGAGATGCCACCTTCATCTTCATGCAGAGTCATGGTGTTCTGCTCCACAGAGAAATGCTCCGGTGTGGCTGCTATGATGATGGGCACCCTTCCCACGATGGTGGATGTGGTAGAAGGAAGGCCAGAGGTGCCTACCAGCTCGTGCTTGAATGCCCTGATTTTATTTTCCATAAGAGCACTGGTGACAGGCATGGGTTTCAGCAGAACCAGCGCACTGGTAACTCTCATGGCCTCAAAGGAAGCCATGTCTGTCCAGGACTCCAACCTCATCACTTCGCTTTGGTCTTCCAAGGAGCGTTGTTCTCCCCTGCTGCTACTATACAGGACAATGCAGTGTACAGCAAAAATGACCTTTCTAACATACTTGCATGTCCTGTTGGCAATATCTGTCATGAAGACAGTGGTGTCACCGGGGCGAAATATGTTTTTCTCCAAAGGATCACAGAGCCATGACTGAAGCAGCAGAAATAAACTACATCCTTCCAAGCTTCCATCACCAGTGGGGCCTGCATGGAGAGGGTGAGTGGAAAGGCAAAGCACAGTGAGTTCTTGTTGGTGGATACGGGGTGATTCTCAAACACCACACACATAAACTCCTAACGCAACAGCTGAGGCTACTCAACTCTCCCCACAAGCCCCACCATTAACCCAGAGGACAGTCTTCCTTGCTGCACCAAATGCGACATGCCTGAATTATCACAGTCCTCCTGAGCATCTATGCAAAGAATTCATGTGTGCACATGTAAACATTGTCACCCTTATCTCTCCATGACCAAATTTAGAGGGAGGCCACAAAATTATTAGAATCATCATGTTCTAGTTGTCTTGATGACCTTTGACTGACTGTCCCAGTCTAGGTAGAGTTCGGTAAAAAAGGCACCTCCTATTTGGTGATGCTTGCCCAAGGCTTCAACTCCAAAGCAAGAGAATAACATCCCTTTTCCCTCATCCTGGATCTCAAAGCGCTCCCTACATGTCAATCTTGAAGTCTTACAATGCACCTTGTACGCTAGAAAAGAAACATCTCGGTGCAAGCCCTAGGACAAAGATGGCAGAAGATATAGAAGTGTCATTTGAATGCTAAAAGGAGGAAGCTCAGAGCTAAAAGTTCATAGACACTCAGTAGCAAACAGTTACAGCTCTGGATCAGAATAGGGTAGGTCTTTGTGTCTCCAGCTCAGATAGCTTGTTCCCCTTACTGTGTCTTTCACATGTCTTCTGTGGTCACCAGCAGTTCCTTGCAACAGTAAACATCTCTCCTCTTTAGCCAAGACAATTTGGCAGCTGCAGCAAGTCCCTTGAACAAAGTAGGAGATGCAGCCAATTTTGCTGGTGAATGTGGAGGGGATACTTGGAAGAAAGCTGAAGTGGAAGTCAAAGGTGTGGAGCCCAGTATCTGGCCAGCCATCTGAAAGCCAAACAACACGCTGCTGTCAGAAGCCTTTTAAATGTTTAGGATGTTTGTACCTTATGGAAACCTTGATGTTTCTCCCAGAATCCAAAGTGTCCTTACCATCTGGTATTGCACCCAAAGTGCCATAAAGGCATAGTATGGGGTGGACTGTGCATCGCCCCTGCAGGTCAGCTGCTGGATGCATGGACCCCTACCAGTCGGCAGACTTGAGAACTGCTAATCTGCCTCATTTTAACACAAGGTCAGCAAACCTGCAGCTCCTCACAAACTGTTTAGCATTTTCACTTATCAAAATGGGACACCACAGACTTTTAACTTTCCAAATAAGGACTAATAGGCTTTTTGGGAGTAAAGCAGTGTAATAACTCTCACTCCTCTTTTATCATTGTCTACAACACCTGTGCATATGATCCGAAACTTTTGTTTTGCCTGTGCAAAAGACCCCCACTCACAAAAAAAATAATATTTGACACCTTCTCTGCACAACTGTGAGACAGGAAAATTATGATTTTCATACTCACTCATATGATTTCCAACTCACTCATTCCTTTAAATGCCTTTGCTTCTGTGCCACTTCCTCTTAATCAAACTCAGGTTTTTGTGGGTGACGTCCCACTGCCTGTAATGAAAGACTATCCCACCTATGCAAGGATAAGTTTGGCCAGATAAGACCAGCTCTTGACTTTTTTCTTCATCCAAGACCTGTTTATTTTAAACACATGTATCTGCTGGCAGTTTATCATCCAGACTTAAGCTTTCCTTCCTCCTAGCAGCTTGTGCCAAAACTTCACTTTGAAAACACTGTTAGGGGATGCGAGAGTGCTAGAATTTTGTCCTGCTAACTGCATCCTTTTGCAGATGAACTCAACGATGCCTCAAGTTTTAATAATCTAAACTGGATATTCTTGTTGGCAGAAGAGCCTGGATATTGATTCCTCACAGCATGGGAGATTTACCAGATGGCATAACAGCATTTTCAATCAATCAGAGTTGTAACTCTGAAGAAAAAAAAAATGCCTAAAACAATCTGAAAGGGAGGAAACTAAAATTCCTCAGCCTCTTAGATAACTGCAATATAAGAAAGTCATGTTCTCTATTCTGACAGTTTGTAGAAACCTGATATTCCCAGGGCCTTAAGTTACACAATGTTGTCTTTAAGTTATGTTGGCAATGTTCTTGTTTTGGTATAAGGAAGGAATTTGAACTGTGAGCAGATCTGCAGTTTAACCTTGAAAGAAATCAGTGTTCCCCTCCTGGAATGATCTGCAGTTGGGCCCTGGTGTAAGTGGTCTGTTTTGCAGCCCAGGCACAGAGTAGGGATTTACTGAAAGAGTTCACATTTCTCAGTCCCTGCTGCAGGTATGGCCTGAGAGCCTGGCTTTGTCTGCAGGGCTGAAGTAGGCCCTGTGGTGCAAAAAGGCTTGCAGATACTTATTTCATTGTATGTACAGCTTTAATCCCACTTTCTCTGGCTTGTTTTGCATCACTTCTAAAGAGACTTCTTTGAATTGTGCCCACTTGCTAAGCTGTGCTTAACCTTCTGCACAGGCCCTCGGACTCAAAAGGACGGTGGCCTTAAACAATGTCCCTGATTTCACCCTGGAAGCAAAGGTACATTTGCTCTCCCTGGCTCCCCATGGCTGCTGGATGTGAGTCCCATTGCACAGAAGCAGCTGCCCTCTGCGTGGGCTCTAGAAACCTTGTTCCCCTGAAACCATACAACAGAATTAATTACACTGTAGAAAGTTTCCTAGCAGCTGCAGGGGTGGAAGAGTGCTCCCAAGAGTTAGCTCCCCAGAGGCAGCCGGGGATACCACATGTCTTGGTGGTCAGCAGAACCTGGGAACTTCAGTCACACTGAAAAATTTAAGTCAATTCCAGATAATTTATTTTGTTACTTAATTCAAAAAGTGCTCCATCTTGTACTTCCCAGCAAGGGAGATCATAGAATATCAAGTCAGAAGGCACCTCAAGGATCATCTGATCTAACCTTCCTAGGCAAGAGCACAGTCTAGATGAGATGGCCCAGCACCCTGTGCAGCTGAGTCTTAAAAGTGCTCAGCGAGTCTTAAAAGTGTTCAGTGGAGATGATGGCTGCAGCTGTGGGGGAAGTACAAAGAGGTAGCACTGAAACTCGTCTTTTTCTTTTCTGGATCTAATTATCCTAGAGCTGTTATCAGTCATATTCAATGACTGCCAGGAGTCAGTTCCTCCAGCAGTCTTTATCTCACAGAGAGACAATACTGAGTTTCTTGTGCGGTGGCGGGGCATACCAGGGTTAAAAAGAAATATGTCAGCAGGCACCTGGATTCACTTCTTACAGAGACATCAGATGTGACCCAAGTAGGGCATGTGGGAAGATCAAATACCAGATAGTAACATGCTATCAAGAGCATATTAGCAGCTGAGTGTCAAAAGCTGACACAGGCAACAATCTGTTCAAGCATACAATCCTTGTATGCCAACATCAGTGGGGCACACAGAGTATTTGGGGTAAGAAGGGTCAGGTCTGTATCTTCTTTCATGTTTAAAAATGGCTTTCTCAAACTTGTTAGAGCACTTCTATAGAGACGTAATCAAGACTGGAAAAGGAGGAAAAAGACTGAGTTACAGTAGTAAAAATCTGTTATTAAACTGTACTGCATTGGCAAGTCTTGATGGATGTGGGTGCTCAACTCTTCTGAAAACAGGTATATATGTGTAGGTGGCAGAATACGCATTCCAGTGTGTCTTTAAGCAACACCAATTTGAACTTTAACCAAAAAGACCTAGAACTGAGGTGCTTTACAGGTACTTGTTCTTATAATGGCAAAAATAATTTTTCCAGCACGCAGCCTTTCTCCCTCTTTTCTATCAGGGCTGTAACATCTGGTAGCCTACAGGAATACGTCAAGGCTAAGACTCTAATGCATGTGTAAGGGGAAAATGACCTTTGGACAAGGTAGAGCCTTCAAGTCTGGAAGGAAATGAAGCCTGACCACTGCAGGTCATAGCTCAAAAGCACAGTTTCCACACATTGCCACAGTCTAACTTCAATACTAACCTAGGGCAGTGAACACCTATGTTCTGTAGACTAAATTTTCAGGATTCCCAACAGACCCTAAGAAAGAGGAGCTGAGAAAGGGGAGTGCATCTCCTAGGAGGCTTCCATTTGCTTTAAGCATCCCCTGGAATAATCCACTGTTTCAGGTGGTCACTGCATCCCACTGACTTTACTCTTTTTAATAAATCTGTTCATTTTAATAGTTAGCTCTGCATTTATGTGTGTGCATGTTGGGTCGTATAATATCTGAAGGGAAGGTGAAAGAAGAGGGAGTCAGGCTCTTTTCAGTGACAGGACCAGAGGCAACGGGCACAAACTGAAACATGGGAGGTTCACTCTGAACATCAGGAAACACTTTTTCACTGGGAAGCAGGTTGCCCTGAGAGGTTGTGGAGTCTCCTTCCTTTGAGAAATTGAAAAGCCGTCTGGATATGGTCCTGGGCAACCATCTCTAGGTGGTCCTGCTTGAGCTTGGACCAGATGACCTCCAGAGTCCCCTTCCAACCTCAACCATTCTGTGATTCTGTGAGTCGGTGAAATAATCACACTTTTGCAGGTGTTTTCAGTATGTCTCACATTTTTCTTGTCTCTCAGTAAAGGTACAGCAGTATCTTTAATAATGCCTTTACTACAGTTGCAAATACAACAAAGCCTGTATACCCAGCGGATACTTGCTGGCACGTAAGTCAACAAGAACGCTGAAGGTAAGCATTTTAGATGACCAAAGAACTTTTCAGTGATGTGCTTGTGACTAAAGGTTTCCTACCTGCTCCTAGACACGTTGTGATAGATTTCTGTGCAACAAATGTTCACTTCACAGATACGGTCACCAACTCGTGGGGGACTGCTCCCACTCTCACATACTGCTGATTGTACCAGAATGCTACTGTTCATCATGAAGCCCTGATTGCCATATGATGTAGCAAAAAGGAGTATGCCATGGGATAGAAACAGACCACATGGACATTGGCAAGACGAAGGCTTCCTCCCCACTGGAAAAGGTCTGACTGCAGCTTCCCAAGCCCAATGCTAAGATGCTGTTCAGTTAACCAGCGCCTCGTTCCAGTGTTTTACCCTCTATGTGGAAATTCTTAGCTTTGGAGATGTAGACAGCCTGGTTGGTGCAAGCCGTATTCTTGTTGTAGCCCAGTTCGGGATTATCCTCAAGCCACCTCAGGAAGCCTCTTCCCACAAGCTCCACCTTCACAACAGGGTCCACCAGGGTACTCCTGAGGTTTAGAACCAGTTGCCTGTCTATGCTGGAGCCCGCCAAATACACCTCAGTCTCAGGCAGCACCAGGTTAATTGCTCTCACTGTCAACATGAGGGAAGACCAGGAGCTGGGTGCTGCTGGGGTCCGAAGGTTGGATTACAAGGTCATATTTCTGACCCCATCCCATAACACCATGGTTTGTAAGGTTATGGCATGGGGGACAGGCAAGGAGCATGCCCCACAGGGAGAAAGCTCAGCTCTCCAAGCTATGCCAGAGAGGATCGGAGCCATTTATCTGATTATTAGCAGCACCTAACTAACTGACAAGCACTCAACAACACGTTTAAGAACGGTATCACCAACACAGCAGATAAACCACAATTCAAGACACTTAGCAAATGTTGATAAACACCTGGAAATTTCTAAACACACTTTCCATGAGTAATCCCCAAAACTTCTAAGCATGCACACACACACACATGCATGGTTAGGTACACCCACCTCCTCTGGGGTGCTGGTTCCCCAACTCATGCACCTCTCCTTGGGCAGACGTGGCGGCTCTACGTGTACCCTACTCAGTAACCCATTCACCAGTGAGAACACACCCCACAAGCCCCCCCACACACTGCGGCACTGCACCCCATGAGGGTCAGCGTGCTGGGTGCACGCAGGCTGCTCACACCATCTGGCAGCAGCTGGCTGCTCCTGGCAGCCCCAGCCCTGGCTTTGGTGGCTGTCTTTTCCCTCATCCCGCTCATGGGTCTCGTCCCGGGTCACAACTTCTCACACTTCCTTGAGATTTCTTTCCAGGCTGACTCTACTCTCATAAGTCTCCTGGTAATCCCCTGTCTACTGTTTAATTCAGCTGACGGTTGTCTCAAGTAAACTTCACCATTCCTACTTTCCTTGTGGTGTTACCAGTTTTGGGCAACCACCTTTCCAGAATACACAGTTTTATGTATTGTGTTCACACCCACTGTGCACACTCACCTCACCACCACTTCAGCCATTGTTATCTGGGCATGCTACCAAGAAGCAGCTGTGCAAACTTCCCCACAGCAAACTACTAGCAGTGCGTAGTAGATGTGGCTGATATTGCCAGCATAAGTGGTGGCCAGAAGACTACAGCAAGTGTCAGTGAGATCTGAGGAAAGCAGGGCAGGCAAGTGGCCGCCACCGCCCCTCTGGGCAGTGAGGTCGTGCAGGTCTGGCTGAAGCCAGTGGGCTCTCAGTCACCAATGCAGGATGATTGGCAAGATTTTATTGTAATTTAGGACGCTTTGGTGAACATGGCTAAAGGCAAGGGACTGAGATGAAGCTCAGCCCACTTTGTCTCCTGAAATCCTCTTTGTCATATCAGAGCAATTCCAGCTAGCTTGATCTGTTGCAACTCAATTATAATATTAAGGGCAAAGACATATTCCTTCCAAAAAACACCCCAAAATGCTGTAAGGCTGATCTGAGATAGACCTCAGATGCTGTTGGACACTTGGACTGAATGAGTGTGCCATGCTCTCACCCACACAGATGTGGGAGAGGAAGAAAAAGGATGCAGCACGGGAGATCAGAAAGACATCTTCAGCCAGGGGAGCAGGGATGAAGACGGCTACAGCAAAGGCTGCAGCGAGGATCACGTCTGCAGCTGATGCCAACAGACATCTGTGAGCCACTGATGAGCTGCGAGCCCAGAGTGAAAGTGCTGGCACCTGCTCTGCAGAACCCAATTCCAGAGGCAATGTTCTCAGCTGCAGGTTGAGGATGAAGGCACATGCTGAGAAATACTGAAAATTCACCAATCAAGACGGCCAACACTTTAGGAAACAAGTCACAGCAGCACGTTGAACTTTAAGCCTTTCCTCCTCCATACTAATTAGTCACTTGTTCCAAAGCTGTCAAGATTCTCCCTCACAACCTCTGTACCCCATCCTTGCTTACAGTGTTTCAGGTGTTTCTTTTTTAAGGAAAAAAAAGCACTGAATTAACAGGCTGAATGCAAACTGTCACTCAGTCTCAATTCTTGGCTGCTGCATCTCGTTCTCTAAGCCTCAGCTTGCCTTGCCTTGTTAAAAAACAAACTCTTTGGGAAAGGAACTGTTCAGTGCCCTGGGTTGTAGTGAGAAGGAACAGTTTCTTAACTGGGTGCAGAATTACCAATAACAAAAATATCTTTTTTCTTATTTATACTTGACAGTTTTCAGCAGTCATTGCCTTGTGCACAAGTTGTGTGGTTATGGGTGGAAAAAATAGCTTATAGCTACTTGCATGAGTGATGATATATCATCAAGTAAAAAATTATAATTAGTGATAATATATGAATTTAATACTAAATTCCCATGGTTTGGTGCTCAGGCACTGATTTATGCTTTACAAAAATAGCTGATAGCTATGATCTCCGTGCTGTCATTACACCAAACCAATATTTCATCTCAATCTGTACAACCCCTGAGAATTTTAAGTGCAAGCTGAACATGCAATCAGCCAGGAAAGGAGGAAGCATTGCTTTTATGTCATGGTTTGTGCTCCTTCCTTAACTCCAATTTCTGTCTTGAAGTTAGACCAGCTAAAAGTGAGTTGTGCAAATGTTGTTTCTTTGTACTTTGTGATGTCTCTGACAAAATGATCTTTAAATTCCATTTCCAGAAGAACAGTCCGGTATACTTTTAAAAAAAAGTAAGCTTCAAAAGATACCATAGGGAGCATTATATTCTGTCTTCGCCTATGTTGATATGTGATGTCATTGATTTTGAGCTTTCAATTGATATGAGCCAAAACAGAACCTTTCGTCTGAATCAGCTACACTTCAGAAGTTACAAATGAAAGGAAAGTGGAGCCATACCTCACTATATTTAATTTTGCAAACCAAAAGCTGGCTTCCATGGCTTTATCTCATTCATTTAAGAAGCTTTATGCAGTCCCACTATGTTTCATAGTTTTCTCCAGGCATCAGGGAGGACCGTGTCATTGTTTGCTCCTGTTTTCATTCTCTGAGACTCACATGAACATTGCCTTAGGTTTGAGCCTCCTGGTTTCAGTTTAAAATTTTAAACCTGAAAACTCAAGGGGAAAGGAAGGGCTTACAGTGAGCTTACAGTGTTGTGCTGTGATAAAACACATCACTGTAGGGCTGTTGTCACTCTGGGTCTGCACAAGGATTGGCTTCCCCAGAGACCTCACGGTCTGAAGGAACTGGATGTGGCAAAGCAGAGGGAAGACCTAGGCTGAGCTCTTGGGTTCATCATAGAACTTGGACTGGTCTGAACTTTAAGAGGATTTAATATAAAAATGTTGCACAGATCTCATTTGTATTCTGCTGCTTTCCACCAGTATATGAAGGGCCTGCATTTGCACACAAATTCCCTTTGAGAATTGAGCTGCCTCTGTAGGTCTCCTGATAGTGACATGTGGAAAATGGAGTACCTGCATTTGAATTTTAAATTTCTTGTACTACAGAGGAATTAGGCTGTACTGATAGTGCTTTAGATGCACTAAATGCTAGCACTAGCTTTCTTGAAGCCAACTTCTCAACCATCTCATAGGCAGTGACATAGCTATGAAGAAACTGTTGTGGAGGATTCTTCATACACGCAGCCCCTGTTAATACAGAGGTTTTACAAGAGAGCGTGAATCAGGCAAATGAATGCAGGGCTTTTTTGCCAAGTAGTGTCTCTCTATGGAAAAAAATAATGTGTAATAAGCACTGGGCGTGGGATGGCCAACCACAGCTAAATGGATAATTCTTATTTGGCATTCCCATACAATGAGTGATTCACTTGGCAATCACAAGGTCCAATTATCTTTTAATACTCTTTTTTGGATGCAATTATGATATATTGTGTGTAAAAGTAGAAAATCAATGCTCTCACTAATAATGCTTTTAATTTTATTAGTGAGTGCATTGCATAATATAACTTTTTTCAGCTCTCTTCTAACTTTGAAGATATTTTTTTATACCTATACTGGTATTCTCCCTAATCCTGGTATTAAAAATTACCTGTTATTTTAATGTGTTCCATGACACCCACAGAGCAGGAAAACACACTGTTTCTACTGCCAGTTGGTTCTCCACCAACTTCTTCTGCAACAGACACAAAGAGCTGTGCCATACAGCCATATAGGGAAACTAATTTCATCAGAGGGCATGGAAGTGTAGTTGCCATGTTTTTGTAAGCCAAAATCTCATGACACCTTTTTTTGTGAGGATCAGCATAAGTCAGGCTGACCGTAAATTCAGAACATCATCTCCTTTATTCCTTGGCTAATCTCAACATTTAGCGAGCACATGCAAAAGTAAAACCACTTTAAGAATTTATAACTGCACTTGGCAATTGAGGGGGGTAAGAAATACAGCAGAGCCAGCAATACTTTAAAGCTCTACCGTGATAGATCTTACCTGGAGAAAGTACTGCAAAGCTGTCAATAGCTGCTTGTAAACAGTAGAGCTTGAAATAGGGAAAACATGTTTTTTTTCCCTGTCAGAATGGCACAAAGCCTTGGCTGAAGCCCTTGCCTGGCCTATCCATCTGGCTGATGTGAGAAATGAGATATCGATTTTTCTTATACCATACGCTCAGAAACTTAGAGGAGCCACAAAGCTAGCAAACTCCGCACAGTTTGTTATACCCTAAGTGAGATGTTGGGAAACTTTTGCAACATACATCTTTCTATCTACCAAATGCAACTTAATTCACATTATTAACCAAAGAAATATAGAACACACACTGCTAGATTTGCTTTTGGTGAAAATTAATGTAGCAAGGAACTGGCTTACATGCTGCAGCTTTCCGTGTTACAGATGATTTGTTCACTAAAAGGAAATCATTTCTTTGTTAAAAATAAGCTGCAAGTCTGATTTTTCAGAATCACCCCATTAAATTAGAAACAGAGTTGCTGCTCATTTCAAGGAAATGTGTGCATCCAAATACATTCTGTATCCTTAAAATTATTGATCTAATCACCCAGAATGATCTCTTATCTAGAAAATAGTATACAAGAGAAAATCAGAGTGGAAAATTTCATCTATTATAATTAAGAAATCACAAGGTAAAGTCAAGAGTACCTGTAGCTACTTGCAGGAAATTAAGATTTCAATATGCAACAACATAAGATATTTC